TTCACAGCTCAGGGATGAGACTGAAGAAGAAGAGACGGTTGCCAGGAGATAGAAACAGGCAGTAAAATGCAAATGACTTGGCCTGTCATTGTCTCACACACAGGCATGCTTTGAAGGCCGCAGATGTGCTCACCCACAGAGGGAGCAAACAAGACTCTAAGTGCTATGTGAGCTCTTTGATTAGGTGAAGCACTTGGTGTGACAAAAAGGAGTTGAGTTGTGAGTTACACAAAACCATTAACTAGTTGAAAAAAACATACACCTGCATGAATATACCAGTAAGAAGATGCTCTTAGTGAACTGTGACCAGGGTGACTACAGGCTGTGTTATGAAAAGCATAGGCTCAGGAGAGAGCATAATTACGTAATCATAATTTGATCTGGCCCACAGAAGATGACTAGAAATAAGATTTTTCCAGATATGTCATTCTCTGAAACACAATTTCAGCCACTATATATAGTTACAGTTACTGAATTAGCTTCAGGAGAAGGATTTCCCTCCTTATATAATCACGTCCAATCAGTATAATCAAACACAGCTGGACTCAAATGAAGGTGTAGAACCATCTCAGGGATGATCAGAAGAAATGGGCAGCACCTAAGTTAAATATATGTGTGTCACAGCAAAGGGTCTGAATACTTATGACCATGTGATATTTCAGTTTTTTTTTTTTTTAAATAAATCTGCAAAAATGTCAAAAATTCTGTTTTTCTGTCAATATAGGGTGCTGTGTGTACATTAATGAGGAAAAAAAATGAACTTAAATGATTTTAGCATATGGCTGCAATATAACAAAGAGGGGAAAAAAAAGGGGGTCTGAATCCTTTCTGTACCCACTGTATATATTTTCATTTAGAAAAGGTTAAATAGTGTTCCTTAAATAGCTAGTCACATTATAGCACCAGGACAGAGGATGTGGGACTGAGTCACAATAAATTGTGGCCATTTTCCCCAGACTACTGCATGTAAATACACAATCACAAGCCTTTTTCTTATAAAACCACACATTCTGTTAAGGAAACGCTCGACACAAGGGTGAGTGAGCGGAGAAAACAGCAGACCCAGGCGGCTGGCTTCGGTGCAAGCAAAGATTTATTTACAGTGTTTAAGTAGTGCATCAATATATACAAAGTGAAGTGGTGAATATAACCGGGTGTCGACCAGCAGTAGCAGGAGTTATGGTACGTGGAGTGATGATGGACCGGGCTGCAGGGGTAGGAGTCACTCCTGGGCTGGTCGGGCAGGAGATCCGGTTGACTGAGGAGGTAATAGGAGAGATACAGTTAAATTGGAGACTGTGCATCGACCTGTGATGGTGGTGGCTGGTGGAGCTGAGGGTGCCAGGATCCAGAGGAGAGGTCCAAACGTAGAAGGAAGCAGTGAACACACAAACATACGTAGAATAACGGAATAAACAAGAAAGAGCGATAATCCTAGGGAGGTCTGACGACATAGAAAGAACTAGCAGGGGAGTGATGGGTGAGCAGAGTATAAATGAGGAGTGAGACAAAAGAGGTGCAGCTGATGAGTGTCAGAAAATCAGGGCAGGTGTGTCTAATCAAATAATCAGTGTGAGGGAGCTGACTAGGGCGAGAAAAGAGAAGAAAGGAAGGTGCAGCCGGGCAAACCTGACACATTCAGTCACATTCAGTGTTTGGTCCAAGCATGACTTCCCAATTACAGTAATTGGACTGATTTCTTTGAATGGACAAAATTGTTTTGGGATTAAGAAGTGCTTAGTTTTGGAAAGCGAGCAAAATCCCACAGCACTGATATGGTGGAGCGGGTGTGAAAGGCAACCAAAATGCAGTGCCTAGCCACCCACACCTATGAATTTAGTGGATGTCTTGGGATCCCAAATCATTTTTCAACTATTGTGTGAATTATAAATAGCTGCAGGTGGTAATATCAGAAGGATTGGCATAAAAACATAACAAGAAGCTCTTTGGAGTTGGATTTTAATTTGTGTTTGCAATAGGCCAAGACATTTATCTGGCTGTACTGCATTTTAATTCATTTTTTCCTATCTCAGTCTGGTGCCGATATGCTTAGCCGTTTTATTTTTAGCAGCACTGAGAGGCTAAATGAGTGACACAGAAGATAACAGTAGCGTAGGTACTTTGGTGTGCATATATGGAAATACAGCAGGAAGGGCAGCATACTATAGTAGTGCAGTGGTTAACACTGTTGCCTCATAGCAACAAGATTCCAGGCTTGGAACTGCTGGCTGGCTGCAGCCTTTCTGTGTGGAGTTTGCATGTTCTCCCCCCTGTGGTGCTCTGGTTTTCCCACATGGAGGTTAGGTTAACTGGTGATTCTAAGGTGCTCGTACTTGTGACTGAGCATAACTGGTTGTCTGTCATTGTGTCAGCCCTGTGATGGACTGGTGACCTGTCCAGGGTGTACCTTTCTTCTCACCCAATGTCAGCTGGGATAGCCTCTCCATGACCCTGAGGATAAGCAGACATACCTAATGGATGGAACAATGATAACACACATGTACACTCAGCATTATCCCCATTTATGGCATTTCAAAACTGCAGACGGAAAGCACCATGTCAGCAAACCGAATGTTGTGTTTTGTCAGTCAAACCCCAGGAGAACTAAGAAACTCACTGCTTGCTCTCCTTCCATACTCACATCTTACAATGATGCACACTGTTATATACTCACATCAAGTACCTAAGTGCAAATGTAGTTTTTTATACTGAAGCTTTGATAAAGGGACCAACCACTTTAACTTAAAGGACATATACAAGTAGTTTTATATTTTTGATCAAGATGTCTTTATTTTTGCCTCTGTCGCTGTCATGTAGACTGAATCACAGCATGTACTGCCTTTCCTATTTGCTGGATGTTAGACTGACGAGTTACAGTAAAAGACTAGATGTCAGAGGCTTCAGATCTTCAATGGGTTTTTATCATGATAGTGAGTAGTGAATGGACTGTTCTCACATACTGTACTGTACACTACCAGTTAAAAAGTTGGACACACTTTCTCATTCAGTTCAATGGAAAATTGCGTCCACACTTTTGACTAATAGAGGACATGTTTTGATGAATACCCGAGCGCACAGAAGCACACACATACACTTCACAAGCTCAGCCAATGAGCTAAATGCTAATAGGCTATCTCTGCTTTAAGTTTGTTTAATGTTAATCAAACATTAACAGCATTATGAACAGGTTAAATAACCAGCTAACTAGCTAAATTACCTCAGAGCTATCCTATATTTTGTTGTTGTACAGTAAGGCCTAGCTTATATTCTATTATATTCTATTTTACACAAGCCACACAAGCTACGTAGATGCAGCTGTATTTCTATAGCACAGGGAATGTGCATCATTTGCTGTTAATCTAACACAGGGAAGCAAAACTCACTAGCCCATGGTCATAGTCAAGTCAGGTGATTTGTTTGGTAGAAGCGAAAATTGCTATGGAAGAGCAGCGTCAATAGCCACCAGCAAAAAAAAAAAAAAAAAAAAAAGGGGGCCGAGGATGGTACATCCACCCAGAAATGCTCCTCACTTTCCATCACTGAAATTTCACTCTTGTATTGTATACTAGAAACAGTTCTTCTTCTGTAAACAAAGACTTCAGAGTAGAGCGACAGTACAGTGTTTGCATTAATGCCCCAATCGGAAATGTATGAAAAAATACTTGCATGTGTGCCATACTACAAAATTTTGGAAGACATATTTTGCTAAGCAAATAACTCATCATACCTTTTTTTGTGTAGCTGTAAACATTCACAGCTGTGTAGCTTTGTAGATCCCAAAGAGCCCTAACTCTCTTATTTACCCCTCTTCTGTGCCACTGCTCCGTTTCTGTTCATTTAGTCATCACAAATATTCCATTTCCAAATAAATCCATTTCTTTCAAGAAGTTCAACATTATGTGCCTTTTTTAAATTGTGGGTGTCAGTTTTACCACATGCTTATTTAATCTTTTGTACCAGTTGATTCTGCATCCTCCACCCTCACAGACTCAGAGAAACACATCCAGTACATACAGGTCATGTGTTCATACAGAGTGGGTGGAAGCATCAATTGTGTAAAGAGCTTTATTTATATATCAGTCTATGTATGTGTACATGGATTTATGTCATCATGTGGACAAATATTTGTTTGATACTGTTGTTGTTGGGACATTTTAGCCAGTCCAGCCTGCTTTTATATGCTATGCTTACATACAGCATGATCACTGTTATAGACGTGTCTCTTATCCTGCCTGTGTCAGAAGTTATATTTCTGTTAGAAAACAAGGGATGGGTTGAGCTAATTTATACTTTGGTGTAGTGGTACACATTTAATAATGAGATAGAAGGTGCCCAGAGGTTAGAAATGAAAGATCTACTGTTGCATGTACTTGTATTGAGGAATGAAGAGAGATAAACAGAGTACAGCAGCACAGTAACCGTAGGGGTTCCTGCAGTGCTGTGCCCTCATTATAACAGGTCCAATACATGACCAAGGACAACAGACAGCACTGCATACTGGGATAGTGACGTACAGAAACATCCTGTAGCACCACTGATGGATGTGGCACGCTGCTAATTTGATTTGATTTTCCCTGGACTGTAGAGCCTAGCACATTCTCCAACTGACCCATGTCCTACTCTTTCAGCGTGTGTGTGTGTGTGTGTGTATATGTGTGTGTGTGTGTGTGTGTGTCCCTGACAGTTTGAAAATAGACTGTCTGCAAGTTCATGCTCGTTGTTGAAAAGCCCTTGCCATTTTCTCCAATTAATGTCTCTATGTCAGTAGTGTGTCTCTAATAAGATCCCTCTGGGCATTGTGACCTTTCAGGTTTGATTTCACCAGCTTATCTTGAAGGGTTGAAGGTGCTCTACTAAGTTGAACTTTTTCTTAAGATCAATATGGCTGCTGGAGACAGAAGGCATTATAAAGAAACCTCCTGTCGGCACTGAAAAGCACTAGCAGGAACAATAAATTTATCCTTACACTTAGCTTTTGTGTGTCCCTGTATGTCCATCAGAGGTCAGATGAGGAGGCAGTGGTAGACCAGGGAGGGACGAGCTCAATACTGAACATCCACTATGAGGAGGAGGAACTAGAAGGTGAGTAACCTGCACAGGTGGAAAAAGTTTTAATTTAATTTAATTTGAAAGCTGCATCATATGAATTTCGTTGTGTGTTTTCCACGATGAGGGTGTGTGCATGAAGAAAAAAAAGTAGCAGCTTATAATCCGGAAATTACGGTACCCACCTTACACCTTTAGCTCACCTGGGCTGCTAAATGTTACTATTGTAGTTTGTCAGTGTTGCACAAAAAAAATCTCTTCAGTATGAGGCACATATTTGTTTTCCTGATCATTATTGTCAGCTTCAAAGTGGAGCTGCTGCTCCTCTCTCTAAGGGTTTCACGTTCAGCCATGTGCACATCTGTCCACACCTGAATCACTGATGTCACTCCAGGTGTGTGGCCTGTTAACAGCTAAAGGAAAGGTTGTGTTGGTATATCACTAACTGAGGAGTGACCAGAGGAGCAGTGTGCTTTCAATTCACTGTGCTGCTGAAGTCTATCTAGTGTCTGCGCTCTCTATATGAATTTGAACTCTTTTCCCTTTCTTGAAGCACCAGAAAGCAGAGCTATCACTATGTCAGAGCACCATTATTAGTTGATTTCTAGCTTCAACTAAATTGTGTATATCATTCCAAACAATGCCTTGGCAACAACATGCACATAATGAATAGTGCTCCTTGCTCCTCGCAGACACTCAACAATCTGTATTATAACCTTCACAGCTGCTTTTTTCATTTAAGATAGCGAAAATGTTATTCTACACACAAACACTACTGGTCAGGTCAAACTCTTAACTGTTATTCATGTTTTCAAAAGATGTTTTGCATACAAAAATGTTTACTTGTAAAGTAATTGTGTCCGCCAGATGAAGTGGAGTATTTTCAAGACAGTATATTGCATCTGACCATACTCAGCCCTCAGTGGATCTCCTAGACCATTATGTCATAAATATTTTATCAGACCAGTGTTACTGTTTCTGCATGATTAAGTCTTTTTTTTATTGTGTGTGTGTGTGTGTGTGTGTGTGTGTGTGTGTGTGTGTGTGTGTGTGTGTGTGTGTGTGTGTGTAGATAGTTTACAGTGTGAGTTGTTTTGAGGACATGGGGATGTTATGCTGTGTCATTGTCTGATGTAGAAGCATAGAACTGAACATTTATATTGAATCCTCCATCTATCCAGAGGAGGCTTGGGGTGGTGATCAGTTACCACAGGGGAGAGACAGGAGTGTGTGCATGTCTATCTCTGTTTGGGAGGACTGGTTTGAGTTTTATAACATGAGAGTGAGGGCATTTTGGCCAGTTCTTACTTTCTGACCCCCTTTCAAATGGCTGTTTGAGGGTTAAAACCTGGCTTTAGTTAGGTTTAGGGGACCTGTTGGGGTTCAGTATTTAGTAGTGAAGGTTAGGGTAAGAGGCTAGAGAATGCAATATGTCAGTGAGTGTCCTCAGAAATGTAGCGGTACAAGTGTGTGTGTGTATGTGTGTATAGAGTGTGTCACTTGGCCCATCGTCACTCTTCTGCAGGGATAGTAACATGTTCAGAGATGGAACACTTTGTGTCAGAATGCAGGAAGATGCCAGTTTTATCCTCAGCTAATTATGATCCACAAGTTTTAATATTTTACTATTTTCCCTCGCTCTGCTGAACTGTATTTTTGACAAATGAACTTTTGTTGCACAGTAGGGCCTGATGTGTTCCTTTTAATTTAATTTATTGAATGTGTGTCATCTGTTTGTCTGAGTTATTGTGTTTTATTTTTGCACTGAACTTATTTATTTTATTTTAGTTATTTATCTTGATTTTATTCTGCCTATGTAAAGTATTTTGGTCAACTGGATGTTGTTTTTAAAGTGCTCTATAAAGAAAAGTGATTTGATTTGATTTAAATTACTCAAGTACATCCCAGAGGTGCATGTCTCTGTAAAAAACTCCTGAATAACAAGCTCTTATATTGATATTGCAGCAATTTGTTGACATGTTGATTTTAAATGTTGCAGGCCACAGGACTCTGTTTGTGGGGGTTCGAATGCCCAGGCAAAGCCATCGTCATCACAAAGCTCATAGCTCTCGCCACCGCAAAAGAGACAGAAGGGCGGGGAGTATCACAACACAACAAAGTGAGGGAACTGAGACGACCACCACCAGTCATGGTAACACACACACACAAAACCTTTTCTCAGCCTACTCTTTTACAGTGTCTTTTACTTTTACACACTTTTGACCTTCATTTACTGGTGAGAGAGAGGGATGCAAAGACTTTGGTCATGCATCAGTGCAGAACATGCATGCATACTTGCACATCCGCATCCCACAGAGGAGGCTGTGGTTGTTGAACAAAGCCTGTCAATACATGCACATGCAGCACTCCAGGCTAAAATTGACAAGCCACTAATTAGCTACCAAAGCATAGGAGCTAGTAAACATGTGCCGTGTGTGTGCATGTACTTAGGTATGTTTCTGTGTATGCAGGTGCATGTGATAGCTTGGTTTTGTCTGTATCTCTTGTTTGCACCCAGAAGTCATTTAAAAGAGTGTTGTGTGTGTTTGTAAAAATTCTTTTGAGGACCATATTCACCTCTTCTTCCTCCCTTTTACTTTATCACTTCATCAGATACACCGTCCCAGCGGGTCCAGTTCATTCTGGGCACAGAGGAGGATGCTGAACACGTGGCCCATGAGCTATTCACTGAGCTGGATGAGATCTGTGTGAAGGATGGCAAGGATGCCGAATGGAAGGAAACGGCCAGGTCAGGATCTCATCTGGGAGCCGTGAGCACCAGTGTTTGAACGTAAAGCTTCTGACAGCCTGGCAGCTGTTACATTTAAAGCTTATTGAATCATGTTGTTTTGCCCAAGGTGAAAAGCTCTAATGACAGGAATGACAAAAAAGACTGCTTTGATTTCATTCATGGCAATCAAATGCCAAGTTTCGGTTTCCTGTGCTAATGTTGATATTTCCTGAGAGGAAATACGTTATGCCACAGGGTAAAAGGTGTAAAGCTGATTTCTGTGACTGGGATATGAAAATAGCATTCTATTGAAGGTTTAATGCTTTGCAGTTTGTATTTGCACTGAGCTGATCTGGGCATCTATTATTCAAATTTCTAAGACTTACAATTGAAATCAGAAGTTTACATACACTTAGGTTGAATTAGTTTGGCGACAGTGGTGCGGTGGGTAGAGCAGTCATCTCCCAACCAGAAGGTTGAAGGTTCGAATCTTGGTGCCTGCAGTCAAAGTGTCCTTGGGCAATACACTGAACCCCCCCTTTTGCCCCCGATGGTTTTAGCCATTGGTTGAGTTGGCGCCGCAGATGGCTGCCATCGGTTCTGTACCAAAAACAAATTCCTTGTGTGTAACATACTTGGCCAGTAAAGATGATTATCCTATCCTTATCCTATCCTTATCCTTTTTTTTACCACTCCACAGATGTTTCATTTTGGCAACTCTGTTAGGACATGTACTTTATGCATGGCACGAGTAATTTCTCCAACAGTTGTTTACAGATAGATTATTTGACTTATAATTCACTATATCACAATACCAGCAGGTCAGAGGTTTAGATACACTCAGATGATTGTGCCTTTAAACAGCTTGGAATGATGTCATGGATTTAGAAGCTTATGATAGGCTAACTGACATCATGTGAGTCAATAGCAGGTGTACCTGTGGATGTGTTTTAAGGCCTGTCTTCAAACTCAGTACCTCTTTGTTTGACATAATAAGAAAATCAGAATAAATCAGCCAAGACCTCAGAAAAAAAATTGTTGATCTCCACAAGTCTGGTTCATCCTGGGGAGCAATTTCCAAACACCTGAAGGTGCCACATTCATATGTACAAACAATGCTACGAAATACTAACCAAGTGTATGTAAACTTCTGACCCAATGGAAATGTGATGAAAGAAATAAAAGCTGATATCTTGTTCTCTACTATTATTCTGACATTTCACATTCTTATAATAAAGCAGTAAAAAGTAATAATAAATTTAAAAAGTAATAAAAATACAGCAAAAAAGAAAAATTGGTGTAACATCCTATGAAATATTCAAATTATTTGTTCTTGTTCTGAAATATACTGCCCTAAACAATGTTTTATTCATTATGACCAATGATATCCAAAGATATTTTGTACAATCAAGTAGAGGGTGTGTGCACACATTTGGTAATACTTCATGTTTACTCCTAATTGTAACCAAAAATTCACTTGAAGATGTTTGGTGAACAGAGGCCCTGATCTCTTGCTTGTCCTTACTGTGCAGGTGGCTGAAGTTTGAGGAAGATGTGGAGGATGGCGGGGAAAGGTGGAGCAAGCCTTATGTAGCTACTCTCTCCCTCCACAGCCTGTTTGAGCTCCGCAGTTGCATCATCAATGGAAGCGTGCTACTTGACATGCATGCTGACAGTATTGAAGAGATTGCGGGTGAGATTTTTTTCTAGCTAACATATAAAACACCTCAATACCAGAGCGCTATTGTAAAAAGCAAACCACAGTTTTACTGAAAAAGATTTGTATTTTACATGATCGCACTAAGTACAATCGGTCAGTACAGGTTTGAGGGGAGCGTCATCATTGTGCTGGGTGCAGAAACACACAACTAGACACACACCAACTCAAGTTGTCAGTCACACATAACCAGCAGCATCTTCATTTCAGGTTCAGCAACTTCTATTTAATCTGATTTGCATAAATTCTACAATTAGACAATGCTGCTATGACAGTTCAAACTAATTTGCATGCAGGTATGTAATGACCTGAACACCTGTATAAGCACTGACGGTGAGTGCGAAAATGAACCAAAGTGTGTAAAGTACACAAAGATACGTCTTCCTGTCTTAACCATAAAACCAAGTCTTAATCCTCAAAAAGCCCTTTGAAGTGTGAAGACTGGCTAAGTAGCTAGTACAAGAACACACACTCACTGACTCAGTACAAACAAAGGAATGAGGCCATGAGGGCCAAGCTTCTTTCTCCTCACGGTCAGAATGTGGAAGATGAACAGCCTTGTTGCCTGCGATCATTCCTCTTGTCCAACAATCTACTGCTCTTCTCACTTCCCTCTCTACTTTATGTGATTCCTGCCAGCTGCACCTGGACTCCAAATGGCAGCCAACGTGGTTAGAGAAAAAGTTATTTATGTATTTGCTTGCTTTTTTTTTTTAAATGTGTCAAAAGGAACATAGCAGAAAATTCTTGAACACAAGAAAGAACCTTTGTAGACCCAAAGAGCTATTGCATAGATTAACAGAGTCTGATTCTTTTAAGATTATATCTGAAAATGTCAACATAATAGGACTAACAATATGCAAAACATATATTTCACAGATAATGCGGCTGTTCTTCCTGCTCTATATGCCAACATGGTGTCCAACAATATGCAACGTTTGAAGCAAGTGTGCTCATAGCAAATCTGACATTTGACTAATTATTGTACACTGAAATTATGTTGGAGTGTAACTTGCTTTATTAAAAGTACCAGTAACTGTTCATTAACATTAACAAAGCAGAGCTGCCACTGTAGTCTCAGGTTAAAAATAACTGTTCCCATCTCAAGCCTGTAAGTGGAGGCTACATTCGATGTACACCCTGAGTTCTGATTTAATTCCATGCTCACTTGTGCAGCTTTCTTGTCACTGTCCCTGTTAACATGGCAGATTAAACTGGCAAGGAGCTCAACACATTAGCACTGGCCTTGAAGTGTGTTCAGAATGAATGCAGACACCACAGTGGTTTACGTGTGTTTGATTGAGTTTCAAGAAGAAAATGAGGGATGGCAAGAAAGATCCAAGGCTAACTGCAGTCCAGCGCTGAGCCATCAACAGACGTTGCATTGGATGGACCAGGAGCACAGCCTACACTCAGCACGGAACCAGATTCTGCTATAGTGTCACCTCCACCACCTCCTCTGATCCGTCCGGCCGACCCTGCAGTCACTGCTTCAGACCTGGATGGTGATGTGAGTGAGAAGTCCAGCAGAGAACCAAACTCAGAGGACGTTTCTCCTCCACCTGCTTCTCTGACCACTGAACCGCCTGCCAACAATGCTGTCAAAGACAGTGAGACTATGAGTCAGACTGAAGCAGCAGAGCAGCCTACACCCAGCGCAGAACCAGACCCTCATCAGGTCTCTCCTCTGATCCCAGCTGATGAAACTCCTGTCCTTCACACCCTCCCTGCCTCCAACCAGGCTGAACTGATCCACAGTCCAGAGGACTGATAAAGAGCTCTGTCACATCATGCTTGAGTCCAAGTGGATGTTTTTGGCGAATTTTAAGAAACACCTTCAAGGTGTGTAGCTTTCAGATGATGATCCAGTTTACATTGTAAGGCTCAACAAAGCATTTACTGAAGACCTAGCTCAGCAGAAGGTAAACACAGGCCTCACTTGACTCAGGATTGCCACTGCACTAGATTCCAGGTTTGAGGATTTAAAGTGTCTTTCCAAACCTGAAAGGGCAGAAGTGTGGGATTCTACAGGCAACCTGATGGAGGAGAGGCAAGCTCAGGATCCATCTGCTGAGATAACGGCGGAACAATCGGCAAAGAAGAAGAAGACGTCTATCCTCATGCTTTCGTCTTCTGATTCAGACACAGATGATCAAGTGAAATCTATTATCAAGCCCTCAACCTGTATAAATCCAAAACTGATGTGGATGAATGCCCACTGGAATGGTGATAGCATAAATGACAAAAGGAGTCATGTTTTTAGAGGAGGACAGTCTCGCCAGTAGCAGCAGCCCTGCTGTTATAGTACTGTTATGATGGTCAAGCATCAAGGAAGGTTTTATTAATGAAATATTAACATTCCTTGTTAAGTAGGTTTGTTATGCATAGAGCTTATTGATTATAAGTGGATTTAAGTAGCCAAAATTCTTGTATACTGTGCAAATAAAAGCTGTCTGATGTCCCTTATAAGAAACAGTCTGAAACTATTTTGATATCAAAGTTCATGAGTTTGTCTTTATGCTGCAGACATGGTCCTGGACCACCAAGAAGCGTCCAATGAGCTGGACGATAGCGTGAGACTAAAGGTGCGTGAGGCTCTGTTGAAGAAACACCATCACCAGAATGAGAAGAAGAAGAACCTGATCCCAATCGTGCGCTCCATTGCAGAGGGATCCCGCAAACCGTCAGAGGCCCATCTGACAGGTGGGTTTCATAAAGTTTAAATCATGCAAACATGTGGCAAAACAATAGCATTAAAAACAGTTGTCAAAGATAATGTTTTGGTATAAATCAAATACAGACATCCAGTCTCATCAATTTGAAATCTAATTTTTTTACATCTAGCTACAGAATCAGTGTATAGTCTTATAAATCAAAGTGAACTTAGTCACTGACTGTTTGATATAACATAAGATTTTTCTATTAGAAAAACTAGGGAGTAAAAGTCAACAGTGAGCAACAAGACTAAGTAACAGACAGGCACATAAAAAAACATAGTCTCTTATTGTAAGAGTGTCACTCAGTGCTTTTTGGAGCAGACTGCCAAAACCCATTTGAGTGTTCTTAAGTGAATGGACAATGTCAGTGCTTGAAGTGGGGAGCAAGAAGTGCTGGTACTCCCCTTATCCCCCTTTTGCTGGTGGAGGGAGCTTGTGAGAATTGCTGGTATGCAAAAAAAAACAAAAAACAGTCCTGGTACATGAAAGAGTAAAATGTAGCAGTGTGGGTATGGCGTACTGGTGTGTACCAGCCCACTTCAAACACTGGGCAATGTACTGGCAGCTAAACATTACTGTCTTCATGGTGTTTTGTTTTCTTTGCACTTGACACTGACTCTGATTCTATCTCTCTTTCAAAAACACATTCATACTCACACCAACACTCATACTCTCCATTAGGATCAGCCGTATCTCTCCAGCCTCCTCCATCTGCAGAACCAGCCAAGAACGGTGCTGGACAGGACGGCACCCAGGTCGACCTCAGCAAGGTAAAGAAACAGGCCATGGAACAAGTTTGCTGTATTTACACAATGTGTGTTTTTTTAGTGCACACAGTTTAAATTTGAATGTTCTGAGGACACAAAAGAATATGAGTCTAAGAAAAGATTAGATATGTAGTGGCAATTTTATGGTAGCACCCTTTTAAAGTTTATTAGCTGATGCTTTGTAGTCATGGTATGCAGGCGTTTGTGTGATTGTGACACCAGACCGTTTATTGTGTCAGTGTGTTCGTAAAGATTTCCTGCTTTTGTCTGACTGTTGAACCAGATGGCTTGTCTCCTCTTTGAACTGGTATCTTGTTTCCCATCTGTTTGAGTCTTTGTTCCCTACAATGTTATGTGTGTATAAAAGGAGAAGTGGCACTTTGTTCATTGAGGTTCTCTGCATCAGACTGGTTTAGACACTCTGTTTAGATATTGCTCCTTCCTGCAGGAATGTATATGTAATAACTCTCAGAGTTGATGCTAAGTTTTTATTTTACACTCACTGAGCTTTAATAGATCATTTTTTCCACAACAGATATTTTAACGGAGGCTGGTGAAGGAGAGATGCTAATTTGTCCTTTTTGTTGGCAAAATGCCACTTTCTTTTTATGCAGGGACAACAGCAAAAACTCCAGCAGTACACACAGAACACTCTAGCTAACAACTCCACCAACCTGAACTAAATAAATTCCGCACCCAGTGGGGCATTATGAGGGATCCCACCACGTGCTCCTCTCCCGAGCATCCTGGGAGATCCCGTCAAATGACTTTCTCTGCCCCTCCAGTGCTACAATATAGTTAGGTTAAACCATCTGACAACAGCAGTGTTAGATTGCTTTCTGGGCGTATAGCACCATCAGCTTTTTGTATGTAGCTGTAGTGGGCCGCTGAGATCTGTAATCAATGTTTGGTGTGTTGTCAACATAATCAACTAGGCCATGTAGTGCCCCCTAGGAGGCAACAGTAGAACTACACTTGTCTTAAGCACAGCCCATCATTGCAGCCCTTCACAGACTGATGTCTAGTTCTTTTTGTTTTCTGTATTCTTAACTGATGCAAACTTTTGCTTTGTCTCCCCAGGCAGACCTGCATTTCATGAAGAAGATCCCAGAGGGTGCAGAGGCCTCCAATGTGTTGGTGGGTGAGCTAGACTTCTTGGAGAGGCCCATTGTGGCCTTTGTTCGCCTCTCCCCTGCTGTGCTGCTCACCGGGCTCACTGAGGTCCCCATCCCTACCAGGTAGACGCCCACAGTTCTCTGTGAAAACATCAACAATTCTTTAGTTATAAACTCAAATTATGTAAATTCAGTAAACTATGAACAGATTACCTACTCCAAATATTTTACTGACAAATGTCAGGTTCCTCTTCATTCTCCTGGGTCCAGATGGAAAGGCTCAACAGTACCATGAAATTGGGCGCTCCATGGCAACTATTATGACAGATGAGGTAAGAGCTCCAAAAATTCAAATCTAGCTTCAGAAACCTTCAACCTTACAAATCAAATCTCAACATCTGTCTTGTAAAGGCAGGCATTGAGTTTTTCTCTGCCCTTCACTTCTTCATGGATCAGATATTCCATGATGTAGCATACAAGGCAAAAGACAGAAGTGACCTGTTGGCTGGGATTGATGAGTTTCTGGACCAAGTGACAGTCCTGCCACCAGGAGAGTGGGACCCCTCCATACGCATCGAGCCTCCTAAGAAGGTCCCTTCTCAGGTATGCAGTTAGAATGACATATGATTTTTCTTCTCACATTTGAGTTTCAGCTAGAACTTGGATTCGGTGTAATAAAAGCAACAGCAGCTATATGTGTAATATATAGCTATTGTTTGGCTATTGTTTGATTTTTATCTGGTCCTGGACTTTCACTGGGTGCCTGCAGGAGAAGAGGAAGATGCCTGGAATCCCTGACGGCACAGTCTATCATCTGGAGGAAGAGCATGCTGTGCACCATGGGCCAGAGCTTCAAAGAACTGGAAGGTAAATCGGTCAGAACTGAAGAAGCTTCTCGAATAACAGGTGAAATGTATTCAAGAACCTCAGTAAGTCAAGTTGCCACTTATAGCACTATTTGGAGTTTTTGGTTCTTATTTGCTTAACCTACCTACAAACAGCAATGAAAAAAATGTGGTTTTACAGGAAAAAAATTGGTAAATAAGTGAATCAAAGAATGGAAATAACCTTAGTTCTGCACAACTTTTATGCTAGCCTAAAATTGAAATGATCATATAATATGCCAAACAGTGTGTCAACTTAATATTACCCGTTCTTGTCACCAGAGCTAATCTTCATTTTTCCTCTTGTGGTCAGGTTGTTTGGTGGTCTGATACTGGATTTCAAAAGGAAAGCTCCATTCTATCTGAGCGACTTTAAGGATGGCCTGAGCCTCCAGTGTGTGGCCTCTTTCCTCTTCCTCTACTGCGCCTGCATGTCGCCTGTCATCACCTTTGGAGGACTGTTGGGGGAGGCAACAGAGGGACATGTTGTAAGAGCGTAAACACTCAAATACTGTGTTCACATACTGCTGTGTCATTAGTACATCATGTACTACATGCAAGGCATTCATTTGTATTTCCACCATGTTGTATGTCCTAGAGTGCGATAGAGTCCTTACTCGGTGCATCTATGACTGGAGTGGCCTACTCTCTGTTTGCTGGTCAGCCTCTCACCATTCTGGGTAGCACAGGCCCTGTGCTGGTTTTTGAGAAAATCCTCTTCAAGTTCTGCGAGTATGTTCAGTATTACAATCTCTCTGTGACATTGGCAACCAAAGATGTACTTTGCTCAGCAGTTATGTCTTCCTCCACCCCTTCTCTCTGCTCTTCTGTCATCTCCTTCTGTTTCAGGGACTACAACCTGTCCTATCTGTCGCTCAGGGCTTGCATTGGCCTGTGGACAGCCCTGCTGTGTTTGATCTTAGTTGCCACAGATGCCAGCTCGCTGGTGTGCTACATCACTCGGTTCACAGAAGAGGCCTTTGCTGCCCTCATCTGCCTCATCTTCATTTATGAGGCTTTGGAGAAGCTGTTCTATCTGGGAGAACTGTACCCCTTCAACGCACACAGTGATCTGGACAAACTCACACTGGCGTAGTAAGTACACAGTGTTCACTCTGCAGGTTTCTTCCACCATGTTCATCTGGTACATTTAGTTGAATTGTTTCATTGTTTGTTTGTTCTTTCTGTTTCTACTCACACTCCCCTCTGAAAGTCTTGAGATCACATCCTTGCATGCAGTTTTCTTTATGTCTGGCCTAATTTGACTGACAAAAGCATTTTTTATTCAGCCAGCTACCATACAATTTTCTGGATCTGTGTGTATCTTTCTTTGTAGCTGCAGGTGTGCAGAACCCGATAATCCCAGTAATAAAACCTTAGAGCTGTGGAGGGGAAGTAACATCACAGCCTCTGCTGTACCTTGGGTCAACCTTACAGTCAAGGTAACACAACTATGTGGAAAAACACACACTCTAATGATGCTTGATGTCAGTGTAAGATTCACATGATAGCACACATTGCATTTGCTCCAGTGTGTTAACATTCAACCAACCCCTCGCCTTCTACTGACTAGTTAAATTTGCTTAGGCACCTTTGCAAATGCTGACAAGGACATTTAATCAATTGACCTTTCACTGGTGTTTATACGCTGTAACTGAGCTAAGTATTTCTTTTTTTTCTGCTTTGTGAGGTACTCTGATCTACTAGATAATTTTTTGTTTAGATCTGTTTTCTCTGGAATCATTGGAGGCAGTTTTATTCTAACATAACCTTTTCATATCTCCACAGGAGTGCATCAGTTTGCAGGGCCACTTTGTTGGGACAGCATGTGGCCACCATGGCCCCTACAACCCAGATGTTCTCTTCTGGTCTACCATCTTATTCTTCTCAACTTTCTTCATGTCAGCCTTCCTCAAACAATTCAAGACTAGCCGTTATTTCCCCACCAAGGTAATCAATCACTGACTGCTTACTAAGGCGGCATTCACCAAATATTGGCAATGCCAGCGGCTCATTAGTAATCACTGATCTCTGGGTATTGTCATCTTCTGTGCCCAGGTGCGATCTATGATCAGTGACTTTGCAGTGTTCCTGACCATTGTTGTTATGGTTCTGCTTGACTATGCTATTGGAGTGCCCTCCCAGAAGCTGAAGGTGCCCAGTAAATTCCAGGTATAGAGGAAATACTAACATTAGTGCAGATCTTTATATAAAACTCCACACAGTTGAATGATTGAATCATGGTGGGATCACCTGTTTCCACTAGCCCACCAGAAATGATCGAGGCTGGGTGATCAGTCCAATAGGACGCAACCCATGGTGGACAGTCTTAGCTGCTTCCCTTCCTGCTCTTTTCTCCACCCTAACAGATTACTGCGGTCATCATCAACCGCAAAGAGCACAAACTACTGGTAAGAACATTTTGGTAAAATCAGATATAGTTTTTATTTGTAGGTTATATACTTATGAACCTGAATCTGTCCTTCTCTGTGTTTTGCAGAAGGGCTGTGGGTACCACCTGGACCTGCTGGTGGTCGGGGTGATGCTGGCGGTATGCTCCATCATGGGGTTGCCTTGGTTTGTAGCAGCCACGGTCCTGTCCATCTCTCACGTCAACAGCTTGAAGCTGGAGTCAGAGAGTTCGGCCCCAGGAGAGCAGCCTCGCTTCCTGGGCATCAGAGAGCAGAGGCTCACTGGCCTGCTCATCTTCCTGCTCATGGGCTGCTCTGTATTCATGACTGGAGCCCTGCAGGTTAATCAAAGAAGATATGCAATGCTGCCCCCCTCTGGTCAACTGAAAGAGCATGAAATGGAGTTAATGTTCAATGATTATGTTGTCTTTCCCCCCCTCCAGTTCATTCCTATGCCAGTGTTGTATGGTGTTTTCCTTTACATGGGAGTCTCTTCATTAAAAGGCATCCAGGTAATGTGCAGTTTGACATAGCAACAGTGTCCTAAGGATGAGTTACAGTAAAGCCGCTATGTGCACAATTTGAATTTTTTTGACTTAGGTAACTCCTAGTGTGTCTGTTACAGTGTTTATGTTTGTTTTCTTCAGTCAAAGTTCTGTGCCACAAGAATAGCCAGTGAGATGCTATATCACAATGGAATGTAAACAGATATGTTGTCAGCTCTGATTGTATTTAAACCTGTGACTTCAGCTGGGAGTAATTCAAATTCAGAATGTCCTTAGTTGTCCTCTCCATCCCAGCCTTTTTCTAATTTGGCTGTCCTTGTTGTGCACTCTAATGAACTCATTAATTCTGCTGCAATTCAACGAGGCCTGAGAGTTCATTTTCAGACCAATCTGACTAAATCCATAATCACTCTTGCCATATTTACCGTCTGTCTCTCTGCTCTGCTCTCATTTATTCATGTCTCTTCCTACCCTCAGTTCTTTGACCGTCTGAAGTTATTTGGCATGCCAGCCAAGCACCAGCCGGACTTCATCTACCTGCGACATGTCCCCTTGAGGAAGGTGCACCTGTTCACTGTCACCCAGCTCACTTGCCTGGTGCTGCTCTGGATCATTAAGATTTCACCTGCTGCCATCATCTTCCCCATGATGGTGAATTGACCACCTCCAACATCTCATATCAGTTCACTATTTCTCTCCATGTCTTCCATTGAGATAGCAGCTCTTTTTAAATCTTGTGTGCAGGTGCTGGCTCTGGTTTTTATTCGCAAACTACTGGATTTATGCTTCTCTAAGCGAGAGCTAAGTTACCTGGATGACTTAATGCCTGAATGGAAGAAAAAAACTCTTGATGATGCCTCCAAAAATATAGAAGAGGTAGTCTAAATCTTTAAATGCTCAGATGAAAAGAAACAAACATGCACATATTGATTTGTATGTGTTTATTGCATGGGTGTGTGTCTTTTAGGAATCACAAATTATGCTCAGTGCACAGAAGGAAGATTCAGCTATTGTTCAGATTCCCATGAAGAGTAGCAGTCCTTTTCAGATGCCAAAAACACATGACCCCAGGTGAGTACACACACGCACACACAATTAAATGGACAGGATTGACATCAGATTATTGGATTGGAAAAATTATGAGAGAAATGTTTCAACTTCATATCTATCTATATTGCATGATTGTCTTGTTTTCTGTGTGGAGGTGTGTTTTCAGTGCACCCTGTGAGTTCTAGGACACCGAGACCTCCTTCTAAGTTCCTCCTCACT